ACTTTAATGATATCTGCGGAGGTCTGGGATCATGGATATTTTGATATTTGAAATGTTCAAGTGCATTATCCAGCCTTTTGAAGCTTATGAAAACTGAAGGAACTGCGGATGTTGCAAATCAGAAACAAAAACAGAAATTAAGGGAAGGTTCTTGACCTGAAACATTAACTCTAATTTCTCTCCACAGATGCTGCCAGACCTGCTGAGCTTTTCCAGCAATTTCTGTTTTTGTTTTTGAAGTTTATGATTCAGTTTTTGACAGTAAAGTACACTTATTCTACATTAGTATTTTGAATATTATAATTTTTTGTTTGGAGGGCCAGTTGACTTATTTTTGCTCTATCTATACATAGCAATAATGATATAAAGGGGTAATATTAATAAATATTATCCATCTAAGAACAGGCAACAAATGCTGGCCAGCCAGCGACACCCACATCCCACAAGTGAATAAAAAGAAGGGGAGATAGTAGTGTAGTCATCTCTGGACTAGTAATCCAGACTAATCTTCTGGTAAAGCCATTTTAAATCCCACTAAATCATCTGGTGGAATTTAAATTCAGTGAATAAATATAAAGGTAGTCTCTGTAATGGTGATCATGAAACTATCATCAATTGTAACACAAATCCATTAGGTTCGCTAATACCCTGTAAGGAAGGGACTGTGCCCCCCTTACCTGGTCTGGGCTATGTATGACTTCAGGGGTCAGTACCGAGGGAGCGCCGCACTGTCAGACGGTCAGTACCAAGGGAGCGCCGCACTGTCAGAGGGTCAGTACCGAGATAGTGCTGCACTGTCAGAGGGTCAGTACTGAGGGAGTGCCACACCATCAAAGGGTCGGTACTGAGAATGTGGTCCTCTTAAACTGGTGCATAGATCTAATGACCATTATTTTAAAAAAAAGCAGGCAAGTCCTTCAAGGTGTGAAAAGGCCACATTTATCCTGCAAACAACCTAAGATTAAAGGATTTTATTTACTCATAATCACCATGCGTCTGGAAGCATTTCACAGCTCGTGAAGGAATTTTTGAAATGTAGGCGCTATTGTGATGTAGGAAACGAAGCAAACAAATTGTATTCAGCAAGCTCCCATAAACCAATGTGGTAATGACCGGAGTGTTTTTTTTGCAATATTGATTGATTTATAAATATTAGCAGAAAATACAAACACCATTAAACCAAATTATCTGCAATTTTCATCATTAATGTCTGTGGGATTTCACTGCGGAAATTAGCTGGCAATTTTCCTACAGTTCCGCAGTGGCAACATCTCAGGAAGATTACTTCACTGGCTGTAGGGTGCTTTTGGAAGTACTGAAGTCTCAAAAGGCCTTTCAGAAATCAAACTGTGTCTTCCTGAATCACCTGATTTCTGAATGATCCCTTCATGGTTTGATTGGCAGGCACAGATAGTGGGCATCATCTGCAGTGCTGCCAACGCACCTTGCTAATCAGGCTTCACCCTCTACATTTCCTGTGAGTTTGATTCACTCTCTAACAGAGGCAGCCAGTGGCTCCTAATTCTTGCAGAGTAAAGTAACAGACAACGCCCGGGACAACGCCCTGGTAATAAATCCCTGAAAGAGAATCTTGTTCCGACTACTGTGGTGAGCAAGCCATTCCTTAAAGGGCCAGTGCAGGGTTCCTTACACTAAGTATCAACAACAGTGCAGTTTGTTTCTCTATCAGATATTTGTAGAGCTCACTGACAGGTGATGGTGACATAAAACAGATTGTGAGAAGTATAAATGGTGTCTCAGACATTGGCTGACATTTATAGATTCTCCTCTGCTTGTGCATTGATGTCAGTGGAGTTAAAATCACTAAAAACGATTTGCTGAAGTCTCCCTGCCTGCTGCCAATTGTAACCAACAACCATAGAGTCAGAGTCAGAGTCATACAGCACAGAAACAGACCCTTCGGTCCAAACAGTCCAAGCTGACCATGTTCCCAAACTAAACCAGTCCCATCTATCTGTGCTTGGCCCATATCCCTTCAAACCTTTCCTATTCATATACTTATCCAAATGTCTTATAAATGTTATAACTGTACCTGCATCCACCACTTTCTCTGGCAGTTCATTCCACACACAAACCGCTCTCTATAAAAAAAAGGTTGCCCTTCATGTCCTTTTTAAATCTTTCTCCTTAAAAATATGCCCCCTAGTTTTGAACTCCCCTATCTAAGGGAAAAGACCTTTGTCATTATCTATGCCTCTCATGATTTTATAAACCTCAATAAGGTCTCCCCTTGACCTCCTACACTTCAGTGAAAAAAGTCCCACCCTTTCCAATCTCATTTTATAACTCAAACCCTCCATTATCCTTCCTATAACAGGCCGACCAGAATTGGACACAGTACTCCAGAAGAGGCCTTACCAATGCCCTGTACAACCTCAAAATGATGTCCCAACCCCTATACTCAAAAGGTCTGAGCAATGAAAGCACGTGACCAGTTCTTTGATAGCAACTGATATTTGTATAGCCCCTTGAATGTATTTAAACAACCACCCTACTTCAGAGGATTGAAAGATTCAGTCCAGGGTGGAGGCAAAAGGTCCTTTTTGGCAATTATTTAAGTAGAAAATTTTTCTTTTTTGCTGAATATTTAAATTAGTTTGTAACTCATAGCAGAACTTCAATAAATACTCTCTTCGTCATTGCTTTTCTGCTAAACTTTGGGCTTGTTAATCTTCCTGAAGTTTACAGGAGTTAATATTCAGGATGCCACCCAAACATCTTGGAAAAAAATCCTAAGTGCAATTAAAATTATCAGTTTCCGTTTCGTTTAAAAAACTCTTACATGTTAAAGTCATTATAAGAATTTCTGTTGGTCCTGAAATAATGGTGATTTCTTCTTTGTGTAGGTGCATTCTTTACACTACTTTTCGAACCACTAGCAGGTTTTATGCAAATATTTCTTCAGCTTGGAATGTCTCTCACCGTAATGCAAACCATTATCTGCTCTCCCATTATACGCTCTAGCTGAAAATTGTCAACTTCAGAGTTTCTGCATTGTCAAAAGTTTTCTTGAAAGTAAATGTCTCCTCTTACAACAAACCTGCTCTCACTTTAGGATCACTTATGCTTAAGACAATATTATTTCGGAGGAGATCAACTTTCAGTTATCGAAATGCACAGGATTCAACTTGATGTTTCAGTGTGATCACATCTTGATAAACAGTCTCCCTCATTCCTGAACTCTGATGTTAACACATACCATTCATATGTAGCATAAATACGGGACTAAAAGTGTGTCTTCAAAGCATTGAAAATCTTTTCTCCCTGATATTTCTTGCTGAGATCTAGACTGTAATAGAGCTGATAGCATTTTTTCCCCAGCATTGTCGGCAGGGTTGCAATTGTTATGTGCTCAGGCTTTCTTGTTGAAACAATCCTGTTGCTCCTTCACAGTTTTGCCACTGAGAGTGAATAAAATTCCAATTCTAACTCATATCTCCTTTCATTTCCGTAGTACCAGGGAGTGGAAAATGAATAGCCATTTAGACTCATTCAGTAATTTGATTTACACCTTCCTTGCTGTCTCTTTCATTTTCTCACTCTCTTCCAGTTCTGCAATTCCACGTTTTCGGTTGTACTAGTCTGACACCAGGTTTCAAAAGATATATTTAATGGCTATCCACATGTTGCACACAAATGCATGTACAGCAGAGGTAGAGGTCAAATGATTACAACAAGCCAGTCAGTACACTAAGGGTGTATTATTACATTTCTTCGAACATATTCCCTATTCCTTCCTCCACACCCTCCTGTTCCCTGTCAGTGAGTGGGACTGTATTAATCATGCGATGCTACACTCTCGAATCAGAACTGTATGAAGCTGAATAAGATGAAATGTTGCTAAAGGACTTGGGGTGGGACTGAAATCACAAACACTTCCAAAGTCCATTTTGTGCCTGAGCAGAAATTCTTATCTTTCTTTGTATTATTTGTTTTAATAATTGAAAGGATACCAAATAAAAGGATACTGCACAAAAGCAATGGTGAGATATGGATAAAAGATAAGCTAACTAACAGAGAGAGACAACAAGGTGCAGAGCTGGATGAACACAGCAGGCCAAGCAGCATCATAGGAGCAGAAAGGCTGATGTTTCGGGCCTAGACCCTTCATCAGAAAATAGAGTTGGGACAACTGGGTCAGTTTCAGATTGGTAAACTGTAACAAGTGGAGTGTGACAGGGATCAGTGCTGGGACCTCAACTATTTACAACCTATATCAATGATCAGTATAAAGAGACCAATTGTATTGGAGCCAAATTTGATGAAGATGGGGAGGTGGGGTTTGCTGTGGTGGAAAGCAAGTTGTTAGGAAGACAAAGATCTATAGAATGATGTAGATAGATTAAGTAACTGGACAAAAATTTGGCAGATGGAGTCTAATGTGGGAAAATTTGAGGTCCACTTTGATAGGAAAAACAGAAACACTGTATTTTATTTAGATGGAGAGAGACTGCAGAATCTGAGATAACAAGGTGTAGAGCTGGATGAACACAGCAGGCCAAGCAGCATCATAGGAGCAAGAAGGCTGATGTTTCGGGCCTAGACCCTTCATCAGAAAAAATGCTGCTTGGCCTGCTGTGTTCATCCAGCTCTACAGCTTGTTATCTCAGATTTTCCAGCATCTGCAGTTCCTACTATCTCAGAGACTGCAGAATGTTGTGGTACAGAGGGATCTTGGTGTCCTTGCATTTGACTCTCAAAATATTGGCATGCAGGTACAGTAGGCAAGTTGTAGTAGACCTTTGTTGTAAGCGGGATGGAGTATAGAGGTAATCAAATCTCAATAATTTGGTACAGGACATTGGTGAGACTGCACCTGCAGTTCTGCTTTAAAACATAATTTAAGCATACAGACAACCTGAAAATCATGAAGCAATGATTTTTCATTCCACTGGCATCAGATCTTTACAAATATGAAAAGAAATTAAGGTTCAACCAGAAAACCAGTGTTCACATAGAATTACATCCATGGTTCTTACCAGTTTGAGGAAATCCTTTGTCTCTCCTTTTTCCATGGGAACTCTTTCTGACAAAGACATCCTCTCCCCCAGAGAGCACCAACTTGACTGCTCTTGGTCCCTGTTGGATGCCCTCCCTCACCATTGCCACCTGCTGGAGGCCCCATTACATGTTTCCCCATCCTGGCAACTACACACAGCGCACAGTGACCTCTTAGCAAGCAGTTATGTGATCGGGTTCATTTGTACCATTATGGCTACACTGTTCATGTCCACATTCTCTTATTGAATTACCAATTTTGGCAAATGGTAAGGGTTGGAGTGATATCCAGCATTTGCTTGAGAGGACCTTCCCAGCCTCTGATTTGTGTTGGTACTTTCCATGTGATACAGCTCTGTGGCAGATCACACTCATCAGGTTGTAGATAGGGTCACAGTTTCTCACAATTTGTGTTTTGGCAGTGATATCGCACTGTTGTCCACTGTGGTGACCTTCCAGTTGGTATCTGGTCAGTTGGATCTATGTCTTGGCTTGAGTTAGGTTTTCTTTTTGCAATGTCTTTTTTCAGACCTGGTTTTCATCCACTCTGAGTGGCATCTGGTTTGCTTGCAGAACTTTTGAGGTCCTCTCTTGGTTCTGTGACAAACTGCTACAATCCAAAATCTGTTGCTGGTTCAACCCAAAGATGCCTGAAGCCAATTTGTCTCACAGAAGTATTCAGCTTCTTAAAGAAAAAGTTCTCATGTAATCAATAAGTGACCACACCATTGCACTTTTCCTGTGAGGTGTAATAAAGAAAACTGGTTAATTTGCTGCAAGAAGGCAGTCCAAACTTCTGTTTCCTCATTTAAAAAAAAAATTGTCCTTACAGTCCGTCAAGAGTTCTGCAGTCAGCAACACTTGTTAATTCAGTTACAGCGTCCAGGCAAATCACTAGGGAATCCAGCATGCAACACCAAAACAGCTCTGAAATGCAGAATATCTTGAGCAGGAAGGCATCCCAATACATAAAGCAGAACACCATCAGGAGTATTGAGCAGCATCAAGAAGGGTGATTATTTCTTAATTTTCTGTTTGGTGAGTCATGGGAAACATATTGTGCATTTACCGCTCTCTGGTTATAATTCAGGCCTTTTGGTCACAGGTTGGAATGGACTGCATGAACTTGATGAAGACATTCTCGAGTATGAGAATGGCTTAAGCCTATTACTACTGGAGTTGAGGACCATGAAATCTATTGCAAGGAACTCTAGTGGTCTCTTGGTGATAGGGATCCCATGATGGGGTGCAAACACTTTCCAGCTTGGACAAAGTGCACCTCTAACAATTTCCACAGCAGCAGCTATCCCAGGCCAGAATACTGCTCTCTGGTCAGGGCAGTGGTCTTTTTTGTCACTTGGTGTCCTGCTTGATCATCAGCTGTTACTAACACTTGACACTTGAAGCTGTCAGGAAAGATGAATTACTTCACCTCTCTCTCCTTATTATGAACCAACCAGTAGAGGACTCCATTCTCCCCCACTACCACCCCCCCGATCTTCTTTCAGCACCTCAACAGTTTTCATTCCTGTTTGGACTCCCTGAACAGCTGGTGCATGCTTGGTCGATGTTGTGCTTTCCTGGACCTGTCTTAGGGCCCTGTTTTGAGATAGATGGCAAAGGTGAAACCACACTGGGCTCTATCAGTCTGGATCTGGTTTGGATCTCAGTCAAGTGCATTGGGAATCTTAGTCTGAAAGTCACAGAGAACTGAGATGGGAATACTGCCTTTCACTGATTCATAGGCATTGTGTCACTCAAAGCCCCCTGTTTCCAGGTTTCTGTTGCACTCAGCTTTGAAGACATTTAAAAGTTGCTGAATGGGTTGTTGTCAGCTTTAAACTCTGCACCAATCAGACTGTCTCTGAACTTCTGAGAAATCACCACCTCAAAGCAAACATTTTGAGTTTCAACCTGGAATAATTCTCTATATTCCTTTTATACAGCTTGACCATTCTTTTCTGGCCTTGAACCTGTGACAGCACTGCATGGGGTCTCTACTGCTGATGGTGGTAGTGGCCATGGTTGTTGAGGGCAGATTCATTTGAATTGCCCAGCCCTGTCACTACTCCGGCAAGTCTTTGGAGCATCACTGGGGCGGGATTTGCCATGAGACTTCCTGTGGAGACAGGCCAGCTGTGGTCACAACCTATTCCACCTGCCTATTCAGCCTGAGGCCTACATTCCTGGCCATGCTGATAGTCACTCCTCTGATGGTAGCCTCTTTCCTGGTCTTAGGAGTCCAACATTTCCCCATGATCCAGATGATCTGCTCTTCTGCTTCAAAAGAGGACAACTGAGGTTTATTGCTACTGAGCCTCAAATCCATTTGGACATTCCCATTCCTCATTACTTGATCTAGGCCCTCTGTTGATTTGAAGGAGGGATGAGGGATCCAGGAGGACAATGTGATTGAACATCTTCACCACCAGCTCCAGGGATACAGAAACTAAATCCTCGCCTTTGGCTTCATTATACTCATAAATCCTCTGCGGTAGCTGTGAGAGGCAGCTGCTGTCCCCCTAGACCTCTGTCAGTACCTCAAAGAACTGTTGTAGACTTTGGATGTCTTCCCAGTATTTCTGATGTGCTTTCCTGCCCATCTGTCATGAATACTGCCTTCTCACTCTGGCTGAGTCCTATGAATGCCATAGCCAGCTGTGTGTCCTCAATCCAGTCTTTGCTGAAGCATCAGGTGTTTCTTGTGTTTTCCTTAATCTGTCTGGTTTCTTACTCATCGACAAATAAAATATCTGACTAGGTGTACAGCTTCCTTCCTCCATTGCATCAAGGAAATGTACGTGGAAAGCCTCTATCTGGGTTTGGTCTAAAGGTCCAATTTCCTCCATCAATGCCTGAGCCCCTAAGGATCCAAGAGCAGCTTCAGACTTCCTCACGGACATTGTCGGTTTCAACTCCTTTACCCTTTGCTCCATCTCAGTCTGGCACCTTTGAACCTCGGCTGCCATGGCATTCTTCTGGTGCTGTGGAATCCCGCCAACTGCACCAGAAACGTAATGGAAAATTTTTCCACCTTACTGGGATCACACGCTGGAAATCAAGCCCTACTATTTCTAGAAGTTAAAGAGTTTAAAAAGTATGCAGAATCCCCTAATTTGCGTGTCTTTTAGACCCAGGTTGACAGAAAACACAGACCAGGTTTCTGTACTTGGCAAAAATTACTATTTATTGCAAATACATAGAGTCTAGCTACAGCTAAACAATTATGAACTCTTACACATAATTCTACTAGTTAAAACATTAACCCCATTGTAACCTCCCCTTTACATACACGCATGCGCGTATACACACAGACACGCACACACAGAGAAAGAAAACGTAGTTGGTTTGCATGAGAACATCTGGGAAGACAGTTCAGTGATCCCCATTTGTAGTGTTTGCTGAGATGATTCTTTTGCTGATCAAAACTTCCTTCTGCTGACGCTTTCAGTTTGTTACAGGAGGCACAGGGTGACAGAGACTAAACCACAAGGGGCAATTAGGTGACTTTTTCATAGCTCTTTTTTTTAATTTTTATAATTATAACTCTTTGTTGTGGATTGCAAAGATCCTCAGTTCAACATCTGGTCAGTCGAACTTAGGGTTTGGCTTGAGATAGAAGTTTTTTTTTTCTTTTCTTCAAAGACCTTTAGTGCTGGTTTTCATGTTAAGCAAAAGGTGAGAGGTTATAGGTGGAAATGTAGATTTGTGGTGACAATCAGAGCAGCCATGATCTTATTGAATGGCAGAGGCTTGATGGGCCGAGGGCCTACTCCAGCTCCTTATGTTCAAACTCCAACTAGAGCAAAGCCTTCATTTTACTACAGTTGAGGTCACCACAAGGCACCAGATATAAAACACTCAATGTGTAAAGTACTAATAAGAGATTCTAGTAACTTTCATCAAAATGTTTCCATAAACTTTTGTTGATGGGGCCAGTCCAGGAGCTTTACTCTGTATCTAACCCCATGCTGTACTTCCAGGGAGTGTTTGATAGAGACTGTGTAGAGGGAGTTTACTCTGCACTAACCCATTTTCAGGTGAGGTATCAAGCTGTATCCTGATGGTAAAACAGCTTGTCCAGACAATTTCATTAATCAGAACAACATAATGTTCATGGTCACAAGATCTATCCCACCCCATATTGTGGGAAGTGTCAGAGAGCCTGGAGAGTGATATTCCATGGTTTACAGATGAGGTAGAAAGGACAAGATCTTATTAATAGGTATGTGATATTTGGGTGTGTTCTAGGTGGGGATGGGATGTGAGTGTGTTGATTGGAATGTTCTGCTAGTTCTTACTGAGTGTTTACCTGGTGCTGACGAAGCTGGAATGGGAGTTCCACTTGGCATGTTGATGGCTGTTGTGTTGAGTTGAGCTGGGCAGGAGAGGACCTGATTTTGGCTCCTTCCAGACCAGAACCTTTTCTTTTCCTGAGTGAAATACAAAACCTGGCTTCATTGCAAAACGCAAGAGCAATGAGCCTGACACAGCACATGTGTAATGGAATGGAACTCCTTGCCTTGACTAGCCAAGCAATGGAGAGGTCATTCAATGGTTAGCTGAGGGATTAACTGATCCAAAAAAATTGTTGCCCACAGCTTGGATTCCTAATCCTTGGCCCTTCCTATCATGGGTCTAAACTCTCTGGATGTTAACAAGTAGTAACTATTGATTTAGCAAGAGATTGTCTCCATATCAGGAACTCAGCACATTCTTTACCAATGTTCAACTCCATAAACCTCATTTCAAGTCTCCATCAGCCAATCATATCCTTTGCTTTTACTTGTCTATCTGGTTGTCTTGTTGACCCTGGTGAAGTGCTCTAACGATTAAAACCGAAATGCAGGGTTAAATCTTTAGACAATGACCTTTACAAATTGCAAAGCATTGGGTTTTGACCTGATTTGTATGAGACAGTCCTATGCTCTATATGGAGATCCATGCTGGGTAAGAAACCGCTGCACTGGGAGGGAGACAGACGATTGTGGTCATGAGGGAAAGTCAGATATATCATTAACAAATCTCGACATATACCTCTGGTTAATTGCTCCCAATTGAAAC